TATCCTTTAATATCTGTTTATTAAAACAGTCAGTTCTCAGGTACTTTTTTGGCTTATTATTATTACATCTTATACATTTCTTTGCAAAATAAAAACTATAATTTCTATAATTTATAGAAGTAATGCAAATGAGTGGACTGTCCTTGTATCTGCTGTGTGTTGGGGTGTGTATGTGTTTGTGGGGGGGGTATATGTTCATGGCTTAATAGTATGTCTCCTTTTCCACCCAGCCTGAAAAGAGAGGACAAACAGATCAGAGATATGTCTTTTAGAAAATGACAAACCTCATTGATTTAATTTAGGATTTGTAAATATTTGCTGTAATCTGCATCTCATAGTGCAACATAGCCACAGACATAATAGACATTTTGTATTTACCTCCTGGGTTCCGTCTAAGTAGGTATCTTCTTGCCTCATCATAAAGGAAGATGAGCAGTGAATATGGGAAGGCACAAAACCACCAGCACGGTCTGAAAGGGATAAATCATAATTGGCTCAAAATAAGACTCAATTAATGTGAATCAATTTGTAGAAGAACGAAAGAGCAGAGAGTGTAAATTTGATTTATTTGGTATAACAGATTAGGCCTTGTCTTAGACTATGATTATTTCTATAAAATAATTGAAAAATTAATCATTTGTATAGAAATCACAATATGATAGTGAATTTTCAATATCCAAGAACTCCAATTTTAAGTATAGCCTGTATCAACAATGTCATCATAAGCTTTAAGTGAGCTAATTTAAACTAATAACACAGAGCTTGTCAAGTGCCTGTAGAGGAAAAATTAAAAGCAACCAAACACCCATGTGTTGTGACAATATAACCACAACTAACTGGCAGTCTGGTACACTCTGTTAAAGCCTCAAGCCAGAAAAGGTGGATATTCTGGACTTCTTGGCCAAAATAATATGCCTGGACCTTAATTTATAGAAAATAATCGTAATTTAGAAATCCCAATCAGATATTTTCCTCAAATTGTTCAGCCCTATTATAAAAGCATACCTCACATTGGCCACCTACATTATATCCACACCCATTTTCTATTTTATCAGGCCCACTTACCATACAAGTTCCATGTGTGGTTCTACAATTTCTCTGAATTTGTTAGCCCAGTGGTCAGGAACCCCCAGGACCACCACTACTGTGTGGTGTTTCATTCTCAGCAGTGCAGTGACACTAATATGGTAGTGGCATGTTAGTGTGTGCATGTTCTGCGCAGAGTGAATCACACACAGCGGTGTTACTAAAGCTTTTCAAACAACACAGTGTCACTGCTTGCTTGACAATGATCCATCAAAATATATACCAAATACCAAAAATATATACCAAATACCAAAAATATCCAGCCAACAGCATGCTGTGGTCATAAACTGACCACTGATGAAGGACTGTAGGATGACTAACACAAACTGTGCAGCAACAGATGAGCTATTGTCTCTGACATTACATCTGGTAGGAAGGTGTATTTAATAGAGTAGACAGTGAGTGGACAAAGTGTTTAAAATCTCCAGCAACACTTCTGTGTCTGATCCCCTTATACTACCATGTCAGTGTCACTGCTGTGCTGAGAATGATCCACCTTCCACAAAAATACCTGCTCAGTGGTGGTCCTGACCACTGATGAATGGGGTATATGGACCTCATAAAATGGACAATGAGTGTAGATACAAGTTAGTGTGTGGTTCTATTTTGGTTCAACACAGACTGTTATAAAATATTACCTGCTTTGTTGAAATACTCATCTTAGCATATTCATAATGTCGTAGTCAAACAAACCAAGAAACAAACAAATGCACTATAAAGCAAACTTACTTGAGTGGATACATTCTAAGGGCAACATCCATGCCTGGGCAATAGGACAGGAAAGCTGCCAGAGCTGTCTCCTCAAACAGCCCAAATATTAAGATTTTGTTCCTGAACAAAAAAGAAACAAAGAAAGAAAGAAAGAAAAAGAGAGGAAAAATTGTTATGTTTTATATCCCCTTGGTTTAGTTTGTTATGGAAGAAGAAGTACTACATTACACTCCAAAACTTTCTGACAACTTGTTATTGACCCATAATGAAATGGCTTTGTTTACTTACTTCATTCCCTGTTGTAGGATGGAATTCCTCCTGGTCTTACAGATAATTAAGTCAGCCCACTGCACAATTACAATACTGGCAAAGAATGCAGTGTGGCATGTGTACTCCACAATTTTTCTGCGTTCATAAGTCTGTAATAGTGATGAGGAAAGAATTACAAAAAGGACATTCTAGTGTGAAATCAAAGGGAGTTTGTTTTTATCTGTATAACCATATTTGCGCTACTTACCCATTGTTGGCCATAACTGTCTTCTAAATCATTATAAAATTTATCATCCCAGTTGACACGTAATCCTATTAGGTCTGAAGGCAGGAATCCATTCTCTGCCAGGATCACAAAGTAAGTGAAGAACCCTGCAGTAGCTTGCATCATTCCTATAAGAAAGAAAAATACATCTCGCTGAAAAGCTCAGGGCTGATAATATTTACATAACTCCATCGTGATACCCTTCATGTGACATGTTTTGATGTAGCAGCATAAAGCTGAAAAAAAGGGGTCATTTGTATAGTCAGTGTTCTCTTACCAATTTGACCATATGCCATACTGATGAGCCTTTCATTCACCAATTTGTCGGTTTTAGCATTTCTGGGCTGCCTCTTCATGATATCACTCTCAGCAGCTTCGTAGGCCAAAGAGATAGCAGGTACCTGTAATATAAACAAATATAAGCAAAATAAAATGCAATCATCATGTCGTATCTATTGTTTTCCAAAACTAGATAAATTGTCTGCTTCTGCTTTTTGCTAAGAACCAAGCCTTAAACTTCCTGGATAAAATCTGAGATATTTGGTGTAACAGAATAAATTACCAACATACCATGTCAGTTCCCAGGTCAATACACAGAATAGTGACAGTGCCCAGAGGAAGAGGAATGTTAGCAATAATAAAGAGAAGGAAAGGTGAAATCTCAGGAATGTTGCTGGTCAAGGTGTAGGCAATTGATTTCTTCAAGTTGTCAAAAATCAGACGGCCTGGAGAGAGAATAATCATTTTAGCAAAATACACAAATATTGTTTGCAAAATCTTCAGCTTTGTTAACTTTCCAGATGGGTTTTCTACCTTCCTCCACTCCAGTCACAATGGAAGCAAAGTTGTCGTCCAGAAGAATCATGTCAGCAGCCTGTTTGGAGACATCAGATCCAGCAATACCCATAGCTACACCAATGTCAGCCTTCTTCAGAGCAGGAGAATCGTTCACACCATCACCAGTCACAGCCACAATGGCACCCTGTTGGCAAAACAACATATCTGGAAGTTAAAGACTGAAACACTGACTGAAACTTCCAAAATATCAGTATAAAGCAAAATTTCTTTCCCAAAATAACTTGGTTACCTGTCGTTGGCAACCCTCGACAATGATCAGCTTTTGCTGTGGAGAGGTTCTGGCAAAGACAATCTCGGTGTGGTGACTAAGGATGTCATCCAGTTGATCAGATGTCATGTCCTTCAAATCTCCACCATGGACAACACAGGCCTTTGCATCCCTGCAAATAAGAGTTGTTTACATCTGAAGAACTCTTGGAGATCACTGAAGACTCACTTTTTAGATGAATTACTCATAAGTTTTCAAGTTACCTGGGGTTGACCTCTCCAACAGGAACGTTCAGACGAGCAGCAATGTCTTCTACAGTCTCATTGCCCTCAGAAATGATGCCCACACCCTTAGCGATTGCTTTAGCTGTAATTGGATGGTCCCCAGTGACCATAATAACCTAAGAATACAAAAGGTGTTAAGATACAGTGGTCTTCTAGTTACGTTTGCTGCTTATGCATTTCAAAGGAGGCAAAGTTCCTGTGACAGTACGAAAGGTAAAGGGCTTTACTTTGATTCCAGCACTCCTGCACTTGCCCACTGCATCAGGTACGGCAGCACGAGGCGGGTCAATCATTGCCATGAGTCCAACAAAGCACAAGTTCTCAGTGGGAAAGTTCAGCTCTTCAGTATCAAATGCAAAGCCCTCAGGGAACTGGTCGTCAGGGAGGCTAAAATGGCAGAAACCTGCAAGGAAAGACCTTAATGGTTTTTGTATGCTTAAATGTAGTTTACCTATATACCCAGACAAAACAAGACCAGTTATCATCCACCTAACATGGCCTACCTAGCACTCTTTCTCCAAGACCTCCCAGCTCCACATAAGCATTCTGGAAAGCATCTTTCAGTTCTTCATCTAAGGGTTGCTCTTTTCCGTGAAGCAAAATAGTTGAGCATCGGTCCAGGATCCTCTCAGGAGCTCCCTTCATTACTAGCAGATGCTTGGTCTCTGAGGAGTTAGGGTTCTTGTGGATTGAGAGCTAGAGCAATGGGACCTAGATGTTAGTATGTCCAACTGGTTTCTTAAAACACTTTTATTCTGAATGATTAAATTTATAAATGAAGTACCTGGTATTTGTTGGTAGAGTTGAAAGGGATCTCAGCAACCTTTTGGTACTTGTCTCTTATTTCTTTCACTGAACCACAACAGAGCTCAATACATTTCAGCAAGGCAGACTCTGAGGCATCACCAGCAGTTTCTCTCTGGAAAAAAAGGAATCAATTTGATTTACGTCACAATATTTGCTCTTAAAGATTCTAATTTTATAGCATTAGAAAGACTACTTTTTATTGCATGACCTAAGATGGATATCTGGTGATAAATGTAATCATATAGCAGGGCACACCTTAAGAATTGGAACATTGGCCTGATCAGCAAGGAAGACAGCACGGTTGCACAGGCCAGCCACACGAGCAAGTGCTGACCATGTGGGAGAGCTTCTATCAAATGAGGTTCCACTCTGGTTCTCTGTGGTGTCAGCTTCATGGATCTGGTTGTCAAACCACATGTGAGCCACAGTCATACGGTTCTGGGTCAGTGTTCCAGTCTTGTCAGAGCAAATGGTGGAGGTGGAGCCAAGTGTCTCTACAGCTTCAAGATTCTTCACCAGGCAATTCTTCTTGGCCATTCGCTTTGCAGTCAGAGTCAGACAGACCTACACAAAGCAAAAATAGACATAGATTAAAATGTAGTCTTTCAGTCGGCAACATCCTAATGCATAGTCCCCAACGGAAAGCTGCATTTGTCCATTATCGTCTTTGTGTAAAATTAATATGTTTATTTGTATATGAAGACATGAACTTTGCGTGTAGGAAGGACATTTATTTTTGAGGGATAATCCAGCAAATTTTGTTAAACTGTTTTTCGTTTTTTGATAGAAATTGGAATATAAATATAATATTTCTAGTACTCACAGTGACTGTGGCGAGTAGACCCTCTGGCACATTGGCAACAATGATTCCAATAAGGAAAATGACAGCTTCCAGCCAGCCATATCCAAGGATGAGGGACAGAACGAAGAAGGACACGCCCAGGAAAACAGCTACACCAGTGATAATGTGGATGAAGTGCTCAATCTCTTTGGCAATTGGGGTCTGTCCAACTTCAAGGCTGGAGGCAAGGGTAGCAATACGGCCCATGACAGTGCGATCACCAGTGTTGATGACAATACCCCTAGCAGAACCTGAAGAAGATTTATTTCTTTATTTATCTATTTATTTATTTATTTGCCTACTGATTTGTATTGAAAAGTTCATGTGATTTATTTTTATACCTTCAACACAGTTTGTGGAAAAGAATGCAATGTTTCTTGTTTCCAGAGGGTTGTCATTGGAGAAGTCAGGAGTACGAGTTTGAGGTTCTGATTCACCAGTAAGGGAAGAGTTGTCCACCTGAAAGGTAAGCATCAAGTTGATATTTGATTGTCTTAAAAATGAAACATTTATCAGTATAAAATAGTTTGTTTTTGGCAATGCTAACTTAAAAGTAGCCACAGCATGGGGAACATTTGATTGTATCTTCTGAATGGAGATCTAGAGAGGAATGTTAATATGTAACTGGAAGCATAGTGGAGAACAGTGTATATAGTTTTTGATTATGTGTTAGCAAGGATGGATGATGATATCGGAATCATATTAGTATTGGCAGATAATTGCTTAAAAGAGTCATTAACTGCATCAGTCAGATGTTTGATTGATATATCAAAACAATATTTGATAACATGTTTATTATACACCAGAGGAGCAAAATGTTAAGGCTGGTCTGCTGTGCTACAGTGTTTACATTTTGTTCATTTTACTGCATTTGTAAACCTATAGAAATATATGTTATATTTCACTGTAATGGTCATCCAGGTAGATCTAGATTTTATGAAGGTTCATATATTGGCATTGGTAACAGCATTAGCAGTTATGTACTCGAAAAATATCAGATATCGGCATCGGCCCACAATTCCCATATCGATGCATCCCAATCTGTTAGCTTAGATTAATGCCACAAAAGTAAAAAGAAGTATTTATAGTAAATATGTGTTGTCTGTACTGGTATCGTCTAATGCTACAGCATATATTTCGGTAAGCTGAAAAAGTCCCATAACACTTTTGGATGCAGTTTAGTCTTGATACCAGCCATAGTGTGTGAAAACTGCATGACCTTGCTGTGAAAATGTGAATGGCTGCAGGATGAGTAAAAAATGGGGGGCCTGGACATTGAAATCAAGTATAGCTTGACCCATTTTGATAATTCAAAATTCCACAATTTCTAAAAGACAAAAAATATACTTAGTATATAATTTAACATTTAAAGCAAATAAATAAATAAAATGAGTACTACTATTCAAATAATTATTCTAACTCTATAGATTTAATTATAGAGCTATATGGACAGAAAAGATTGAGTGAATAATTAAATGATCAAATAGCTTAAATGCCCAGCACTGATTAAAAAATTCCAGCATTCCAGCATTGCTGGTATAATCAAGTTAGCATAATAATTTTAATGGCGTCACCTTGCATCCATGTGCAGAGATAACACGCAGATCAGCAGGGATTCGGTCACCACCCTTAACCTCCACAAGGTCACCAACCACCACTTCCTCAGCATTAATACTCTTCTTCTCACCGTCTCGAATAACCAGGGCTTGCTGTATAAGCAAAATACAGCTAAATAAGTAATATCAGATAAGTAGTAAAGTTAAGTTTCTCACCATTGGAACATTGTTTTATGGTTTTATACCTGTGGGACAAGGTTCTTGAAGGATTCCATGATCTTTGAACTCTTAGCCTCTTGATAGTATGAGAAACATCCCGTGATCATCACGACAGCAGATAGCACAATACCAAGGTACAGCTGCAGGAAAAAGAATGTAGGAATGTGTGAGTGAGAGTGATAGAGACATAAGACTAGGATGCTATGTTACAGTATTAACAAAGTAAATACATCACTTTATTAGGTGCATTGCATCTAAACTCATCGTCCATTTTATCTGGTCCACTTACCATAAAGATGCACTTTGTAGTTTTGCAAATACAGACTGTATTCTGTATCTGTTTCTCTGTATAATTTGTTAGCCTTTACACCATTCATCAATGGATAGTGCCCCCATGGGACCACCATTGAACAATTATTACTTGGGTGATGGAGCATTCTCAGGTCATTGCTGAGCTGAGAATAGTCCACCAACTAAAAATATCCAGTGAACAGCATCCTGTGGTCAAAAACCGACCACTGATGAAAGACTAGATGTTGACTAACACAAACAGCGCAGCAACCAATGAGGTATCTAACGTCTTTAACTTCACATCTGCAAGGTGTGTCTAATCGAGCCTAAAAACTCCAGCAAGCGCAATACACCCTAACAGTAGTACTTGCTCAGTGGTGGTCCTGTGGGGGGTCTTGACCATTTATGAACAGGGCAGAGAAGAGCCAACAAATTATGCTGTGAAACAAATGGACTTCAGTCTGCAATTGTAGAACTATAAAGTGCACCTTTGTGGTTATTGGACCTGATAAAATAGACAATGAAGGTAGGTGTAACTAGTAAAGTGGGCAGTAAGTGTATATACAACTGAAATAGAAAAAAAAACAGACTGAATTATCTTACGTTATCATTTGCTGGTTCATCTTCTGAGGCAGCCTGGATCCCATATGCCAGAAAGCAAAGTATAGCTCCAATCCACAGTAAAGTAGAAAACCCACCAAAGAGCTGTTTGCAAAACTTGACCCATTCTGGAGTAGTTGGCGGGGGAGTCAAAGCATTGGGTCCATCACGTGCAAGGATCTCTTTTGCACGAGAGGCAGATAAACCCTTAAAAAAAGGAAAAAAAAAAAAGAAAGAAAGAAAGAAAAAAAACATGTTAGCTATTTATTATTTGACAAGTTAGGTACAAGTTGCCATGTAACTCATTGTCTAGCTGTACTTTGTCTTTAAGATGGTTTACGTTGTTTTAAATTCTAATCTTTCAAAAACTTCCTCTAATGGAAATAACCCGAATGGTTAAAAAAAGATTTTTTTCTAGAGCCAGTAACATTTGTACTTACTCTGGTCAGGTCAGTGCCATATTTACGATGAAGCTCATCCAAGGTTAACTTATGATCATCCTTTAGGATAGCAAAAAAGAATCAAATTTGAGCTAACATAGCAACCCAAACAGTAAAACAGCAATATTAGTTTATGAATGTGAATTGCCTGGTGGAGTTTCTCACCAGATCAACTTCTTTCTTAAGATCATCCATGTCCTTGTCTTGTTTCTTTCCCTTTTTCTTTTTTTTCCCCCCATCTTCTGAAGTCGCAGCCAGCTTGTATTTATCACTGCCCTTCTGAGCAAAGATACAGAGAAAGAAATTACTCATGAAGGTAAGACAAAAGCATGATGGCACACAGACTGTGCCACAGCCAAAGCACCAACATATTAGAAAATCAAATAAAATCTGGTTAAATGTAACAAAAAATGTGTTAACTCAGCAGTGCAGTTAAGAAAAATCTTTCCAACTTACGCCTAACCCCATTTTTCCTTTTTTCAGCAGTTTTCCTGTATTCAGCAGTAAATTGTTAATCTCAGTGGAGATACATCAGAGGCTCTGCAGTTCCAAAACAAGTTTGCAAACCTTTATAGCTTACCAGCTCACCTGCCTGAAGGGGAGGAGATTTGACTACATTGGGAGGAGTTTGGCAGGTGGAATTTAGATTTTATTTTTATAATCCATTCAACCTTCATATGTATGCTTGGACTTTCAATGACAACCAATGACAAAAGTCCTTTGCCACAGTAACCATATATATGGAGTGCTGTAGCAAAAGAGATCAGCGTTTTCCCTATGTCTGTTAATCATTTACACAGACCATCCCCTTATTCTACATTGATAAGAGGTTTGAGGAATGATTGATATTTGCTTCCTCACCGAGTATGAACATACTTTTCTGATGATATTTATTTTGACTTTCTGTTACAAAAGAGATATGCTTTATCCCCCAAATATATGTTATGATCCCACTCAGTTCTAACTAAAGTTGAAGCCAAAATCTTTCAAAGAAAATAATTAAACCCTTTATAGACTTCCAGACATATTCTATGACAGTAAGAATAATGTTGAATGCAAACTTTAATCTCTTCCATGTTTTGTAAACAGGTGGCTGTTTGTTGTTGGTTGGTACTGGATAGCTTAAGATAAGAGTAGCAAAGCCTCCATGTCCTTCCCACAGTACCAGATGTTCACATGATTCTCACACTCATTTCAGCACACAGAAGAGTACAGCTGGTGGTGCCAAAATGTCAATTTGCATGTGAATTTGTCTGAAATGCCTCTCCCATCCTATACAAATAGTTTGTCCTGGTGAATACCTGGAAAAGCACAGGAGGAGTGTAGAGTGATTTTGTAGAAGTGCCACAGTGAGTATCTGTGAAGTCTGTACATATGAATGGGAGCAATCAATAGTGGGTACTCAAGGTGAAATCCAGAGGAATGTCATGTCATTAATGTCCAGAGCCTCTTTAAAATGAGCTGAACGTTTCGTCTTGTTAAAGATTAAAACTGTAGTTGACTTTGCTTTATGTGGTTACATTTTAATAATCCTCATTCTTACCTGCCATAAACCTCTAACATTCATTAACTTTGAACTACAAAGGACAGAAGGCCACTGCAGTAACAGAACCAGTTTTAAGCAAGTGACCTGAGACACAGACAAGTAACTCTACACTCAAGAGCACCGACTTACCCTGCAACAAGTGCTCTTTTGACTAAAAGTTTTGAGAATAATGAAGGGTCTGTGCTCAATCTTTTCGCTTGTTCCTGAATAGAACACTGTGAACTCTCCTATGTAGAAGGAGTAAGGATGTCTTTTTAAGAACTAAATTACATTTAAGTTTCAACAAGTGTCACAAACCACCACCATGATAGCCTGAGTTAAAATGCACCAGCAGTTTAAATGATGACCAAGCAAATTGTTTGGAAAAATAAAGAGTGCTGCCACATTTCCTATACTTTAGTGTTTTTTTTAAGTCAGTCCTGAGGAGAGCAGGGCACAGGCTAAGACATCTTGTTTTTTGCTACACAAGTTGAGCAAGATAAATATTTTATGCAGGGAGCCTACACATCTCTGCTTCAAATGAAAACTTACCTACTGTCCATGGACATTTCTGCCAAAAGTGAGTGAAAACATTACAACTTACCCCAAAGGCAAGGTATCTAACAGACACAAGAGCTAGTTGTCCCAGTCTCTGAAAGTATGTAGTTGCACGACACAAGTAATCAATAAAATTGTATGTTTTTAAACTAGACAAGCTTTTCTACTTTAATGCGTAAAAACATATCACTGCTGTTGGAAGAAAACCTTGTATCTCCATTTTTGTCGTTTCTCAGTTTTTGACATTTGGCCTTTACATTGTGTGTAAATTTCATGATAAATGGACCGAAAGAAATGGCCCAAAATGATTTGGAAACAAGTCTGGTCCCATTGACTTACATTAAAAGTAAAGTAGGTTTTTTCCTTCTCCTGTAAAGTTACCATTTTGGAGATACGAGGTTTTCTTCCAACAACAGCGATATGCATCAAGATACATAATTATTTTAGAACACAAAGTAGAAGAGCCAATATCAGCATGATAGAACTGATATATGTTTTGTTTACATGACAACTGTAGTACATTTTTTCATCAATCTGTGCATACAATGTTCAAAATATCGAGTAAATCTGGACCTCTCTCATTGTTTATTTTGGGAGGCATAGTTGTAACAAAGTCCTGGTAGGAAAGTCTATGCACTGGACGACCACCTTGGCAATGCCCCCAAGGAGTTAATTCCACTCATACAAGACCAGGCCTTTATTTCTGTGGTAAAATCTGACAAAAACAGTATAACTAGTTTGTAGTGTTTGGCTTGAGTAATGCACAAAAAAGTTTTTTCAGCTGGTTCTGGCTACTGCTCATGCACATATCTCCTCATAAATGGGGAACTTGCACTTGCAGCTTAAACAGCAAGCTTATTGGCTCATTTCATTGAAAGGCGGGACTTTTTTCTGTAAACAGATGGCATATTGAGAATTACAAGCGTTCATATTTCAACCTACACTAGTCTCCTCTGTTACAATGTCTCTGGTTGTAATAATGTCAAAAATGTGTGGCCTAGCTTTCACTGTGTGTTGTTTATATGTGTAAAAACAGTGCTATATTACAGCGGGGGTCAAGTGCCCTGCCTATGGGAACAATCAGGAATACCCAGTCATTCTTATAAATTGAACCCATCATAGGAATGAGATTCACCTGTCTTACCATTAGGCTTCCAGACACTGTATTTATGCACAATATGTTCTTAAAAATAAAGATCCTGAAATGAGTGCTTTGGTTTCCTAAAAAACCTTCCAGCTGAGTGTTTTGATGAGAATCATCAGTTGAGTAGTCAAAAAGTGTATTCATATATACTCCAAATAACCCTTTTTGGCATAGTATGTTAAACTGCAACAATTACTCAAAGGCAGTAGATAAGCTTTTTGCCTGTTTTGGCCTCCCCAATCCCACATATCACCACTAACCATTTACTTGTTGTGTCTATGTGTGACAGTGGTTGTTCTAGAGCAGTATGTCTTTTAGTGGCTCTAGACTTAACAGTGTTCTTTAGCACGGAATGATTGGGGTGGGGTACGCACTGTATTTTTGACAGGGAGCCACTGGAATGTGACTAGACATCACAACTAAAGAACTTCTCCTCCTAGAGGAAGATAGTTCATTGACATTTTATTTGCTACATTTCTGACTGCTGTTGAACTCGTGCTTTCTCTCTGCTCCATCCAGACAGTAGGTTTCTCCACATCTCCACAATCTGCAAAAAGCCCAGCTCTCGCAGGACTCTGGGGAGGAACAGAGAGCTCATCAAAGAGCAATAAGGGCAATCAATCTGTCTGCACAAGCCTCTCTTTCAGTCACATGGCCATATATACACTGGAAGGGAAATGTCAGCTACAGATGGTAGGAAAAGAGACAGAGAGGTAGCAACTGATCAGGCAACACAATAAACATGTCAACTTTGAAAGAAAGCAGTCTATCGTCTTTTGTGCCTTGTGCTGACCTTATACTTTCTGTAGTCCTCACATAATTTTCAGCAGCATTTAAACCTCCTGGAAGGTTTGCGTCTAACTTGTTTTGCTTAACAAAGAGATTCAAAGTAGGAGACATACTAAGCTTAGTCAGCAATGTGTTGTCATTCTTGAATGCAGGGTTGGGTAATATGATGATATGTTATTATTTTGTTGATAAAGTATGTCACAGTATGCTTCTCTCAGTATAACATGGGTATTGTCAGTGCGTTTAGAACCCTCAATGACTTCATGTATCTTAAAAAAGACAACGTGTAAACAACAACTGTGTGTAGAGTAAAGCAATAAGCCACAAGAGGATGTGCATTGCAATGACTTTGTCACAGATAAGGAGTACTGTTAATTCATTAGTAATAATAATTGAGTCATTCAGTCAATCAATTATTACTTTCAGCCACTTATGACTGTATGTGGCAGTCATTTCATTAATTAAATTTTTGTACAATCATTAATATGTACCAGCATTATGTTAGTATCTAGTCTTGCAGGGCCAGATCTGGTCTCCTAACGAGAATATCTGGTAGTAGTGGGCAATGTATGAATCCATGTCTTAAAAGTGCCCCCAAAAACTCCAAATAAGCATGTAGATATGTACGGTTCAGTCAGCCAAGGGTAGCCTTTTGCTAGCTAGCTGGTTTTGCTTATGTTATTAATAGTACTCCGGCATACCCGGCATAGAGAGGGCACAGCCTTGTTTGTGGTGGATTTCGCTGCAGTCCAGCACCAAAAGTTTACTAAATTGTCCCCAGACATTTCTCATTACAAGACTACATCTAGCCCGGCAAGACTATTTAGCATCAAGCTAATTGTGCCACATATTCACTTTCCTACACTGATTTTAATATAGCTAATAGCAGATTGACCAAGATATCTGAAGCTTGTAGGACATTCAAATAACATTAAATATTAAAATATAATATATTAAAACATATTAAAACAGGAGCCTGTTAGCTATCTGAGCTGATCGGCCTTGTCCTATGTGTTTAGAAACTATACAAGCTGGTTCTTGGTTCTATCAACATGCTCACTGGTCCATATGAGTAGTATAGCAGTCAAAGTTTGTTTCATGAGCAGCACAGTGGTTTTTAATAACTTTTTTGCATTAATACAGAATTCAGTTTCTGTGAGGCAGTGGTAGGTGTATTTTACAGCTCCAAATGCTGCTTTGCCCATCAGATTTTAGAACTCAGTTTATAATAACAATACAAACTGCAGTGGCATCATCTTGTTTTATCGATTTATTTGTAACATAAGCTTGATTTTTTTTACTTTAGTTCCTTCTTAGTTTAATTTCCAACAAAAAAGAAAATTACTTATAATTTTTCATGGCCTATTTAATACTGTTCATGTCACTACTCTTTTATTGTTTGCCTGTTTGCCAAAAAATATCATAATACATATTGCGTATTGTGAAAATGCCTTATTATTAATTAATTATTATGATGTTATACTTGCTATATCATCAACCGTAAGTTATATTAAAATATCAAAATTAAGTGCCACAAAGATATTAGAGGCAATGCATTACTGATTACA